CGACGGAGACACAAACACCAGCCGCGGGGCTGCTCAGCGGGGCTGCAGCTGAACTTCGGGAGGCTTCAGGGGGTGCTGCAGCGCGTCAGGCTGCCCAGCCTGCTGTCCGTACCTGTTAACGCCCTTTTCTCTCTTTTTTTTCTTCTTTTTTTTCTCTTTTTCCCCTAGTTCTCCTTTAACATGTTCGATCACCCCATCCCTCGGGTTTTCCAGAACCGCTTCTCAACCCAGTACCGCTGCTTCTCGGTATCCATGCTTGCCGGACCTAATGACAGGTCAGATGTGGAGAAAGGCGGGAAGAGTATGTGCATGTTTTATTTTGACTAATAAACTGTTGGAAGAGTGTTTGTGAATAATGTCAAATAATGTCAAGTTTTTAGCCAAGACTGCAGAAACATTGTTGAACAGCATGGAGTCGTGTTGTTGGCTTTGTAGCCGGAGCTGGAAGAGCACCCTGGGTGGGGCTTTAAGGAGGAAGGAGGAGGGGTTTATAGTATTATTTTGTAGTTAAAAAACTTACCGAGTGAGTCGTGGTTTATGAAGAAGGCACTCTTTCTTTTTTCTTTTAAAAGCATCTTATTAAAATCCTAGGCCCATTATAAGCCATAGAAATTTGTCATTAAAGACTTTTCCCCCCTCTTTGTTATACCTCACTTAGCTTGAGCAGAGAATAGATCAGCCAACTTAATTTTCAGGCTCTCAGACTAATGCTATGTTGTTTTGAGTTGGCATCGATTTAAGAGCACTTATAAGCCCAAACAAATAAAATTACTTTTAGGAAACATTTTCTTTAGTACTTGATATTGTAAAACCTTGTCTTCCCTTTTTTTTTTTTTTTCTGATTAAATTCTGAACTCTCCATACTACAGGTATATTTTTCATGACTGATTCTCCCAAAATCTCTAGCTCAAAAATTAATTTGCAGGAGTTTTTAGAATCTGTTTTTTTTTAGAGGAGGTTTTAGAGAAAGGAATGACGAAACTGTATGTTATGAACTCTTTGTATAGTCATCCTTTTCCTGATCTTACATTCTTATTATTTTTTGCAGTAATTATGCCACCATCAGCTTTGGATCAACTCAGTAAGTGAATATTTTATTCTGGAATAGCAATATTAGAAATAGGAGCAGAGTAATTGGAGTAATGGTGCGAGAGGAATCTTCTCCTATAGTCTGACCCATTTCTTGCTGATGTTCAATCTTTGAAAGCTTCAGAAATGTGTTAGTGGCTTTTAACAAATAAAATTTTTTTCTCCTTTCTCACCAGGCCGACTGAATATAACTTACCCAATGCTCTTTAAGCTGACTAATAAAAATTCAGACCGAATGACACACTGTGGAGTGCTTGAGTTTGTGGCTGATGAGGGCATATGTTACCTTCCACACTGGGTGAGTTGGCTCACGATGAACTGTCAAAACCTGAAGAGTAGGATTAGTGAGTTGTCAGTTTAATATTAAAGAGGCAGAATGCTTCCTGGAAGTGTGTGTTCCTACAGTGGCTTTCAGTCACAGCTCAGGTTTCCCTCCATGGGACTTTAACTAAGTAAAGAAAGCAGACTGCTTTTTAAGATGCACCTGACTGTTCTTCTTGAAATTAAACCATGGTAAACTGGTGCATTTCAAGGAAGATGGTTGCCCCACTGAAAATAGGTATACGCAAGGAAAGAGGATTAAAAACATTTAATGTCATGTTGATAGTGGTTTGTATCCGTGTTCTCATTCTTGCAGATGATGCAGAACTTGCTGCTGGAAGAGGGAGGCCTGGTGCAAGTGGAGAGTGTTAATCTTCAAGTTGCTACTTACTCAAAATTTCAGCCACAGAGTCCAGATTTTCTTGACATCACCAATCCCAAAGCTGTGTATCCTTCCTATTCAATTATGGAGCAGGAGACAAAAGTTTTCTCCCAAATTGGAATGCTGAAGCAGAGCTAGCTTTTCAGATGTGGATCATACTCTTCCAGTAGTGGGTAGCTACTGCTGCTCCTTCTGAAAACAAAAAGGATGGAGAGCTTATGTACAGAGAAGTTGCCAGCTGCTGGTATGACGTGTAGCTTGGAGTGAAGGAACATGAATTTTGGCTTGAAGTCCAATGAGTTTGAGTGTCCCCTATGTCTCTTGTACGCCCCAATGCTTACTAAGAGGCTATGTACAGTACTGATCTCTTTTTAAACCACATTTGAGAGACCAAGTGTCAGAGTTTTATAACATAGTAACCTTATAGCTTTGATATTGCATTGAAAACAAATGTTTCATCTTGACATACTCCAAAGATTAGAAAATGCATTGAGAAACTTCGCTTGTCTAACTACTGGGGATGTTATTGCCATCAACTACAATGAAAAGGTACAGTATACAACACCAGTTGATGCAAGTTTTGTTTGGGTGGCATCAATTTGAGGAAATTAATTCTGCCCCATCTAAAATGTACAGCGTATTTCAGTAGATTGTGACCACGTAAGTACTTTGACTACATCTTGTGAATAGATTTTATAGATGAGTGTTTTTGGCAGCACATGTTCACAGTTGATCACTTGGGGTTGTAGACTAAGCTCAATTAATGGATGTTGGTGCTAAAACAATCAACACAGAGCTGTGCAGTGTGGTTGACAAGTAATCCCAGATGGTAGATTCGCAATTGGTTTTCTATTGGAGGAAAAAATGGGTCAGTTATGTCTTCTCCTGAGCTGCTGTTTAGACTGGTTTTTGGCTCATGAGAAAATAAATTTTTGTGCTGTTGATGTTTTTACAAGTCAAGGGACAGAATTTATCCTAATTTCAAAAATGCAGATTAAGGTACAGTAAGAGTGCAGCAAGGTACAGTAAAAGGTAGATTCTCTAGCTTCAGCATATAGCAATCTTCTAAGTTAAAAATCTTTGCTCTCAAGTTCTTTTAGAGACCCTGCAGTGTCCAATCCTCAACCTAAAGAGCACTTATTTCAATTTTCTTTAGGCTATCTGTAGTGAAAGATATAGATATGCTTTTATTATGTACAAGTGGAGCTCTCGTATGTGCAGTCTTAAAATATTCATTACTGTTTCAGATCTATGAGCTTCGCGTCATGGAGACCAAACCAGATAAGGCTGTGTCCATCATAGAATGCGATATGAATGTAAGTTAAAGCTGATGTGGAAAGTCTGCTCTTACTGTGTCCTCCCAAAAGGAGAGGGCATCTTGTTCAGTGATAGCACTGTACGCCACGCACCTCTGATGCTGCAGGAAAGGTAAAATCAGATGGGATAGGGAAGATTACTCATTTGAGAGTTCCCCATGTACCTCTGTAACCAGAGCTGTGGTTTCAAACTACACTTTGTGCGCCATCAGGTGACTGTAGTGCCTAGAATTTAATGTTTAGCTTCAACGTGTTTTATAATCTGAGTTTTATTTAACAGCCTTGTCTTGATTCAAACTCCAGTGGTATTGTGGGGTGTTGTTTTACTGCTCTCTTTCAAATACATGCTAAGAGTCATTCCTGGGAGGCTTAGTCTTTTTACTTCTGAGTTAAAATGTTTAACAAGCAAACAGTGCTTTCTAGATCAAAATTAGGTGATAGTTTGTGGAATTTTGAGGAATAGTAGTATAAAGCTTATGATTAAAAGAAAAATATCAATCATGCTTATTTTCATGCTTCTTGTGTAAATAGGTGGATTTTGATGCTCCTTTGGGGTACAAAGAACCAGAAAGAAGTGCACAACATGAAGAGACCACAGTAGGTTAAGCTTCTGTTCTTCAAAAATGTATTCCCTAGAAGTCAGCGTTGCTTGTGATGGAGCAGTGAGTGCCAACATAAATGTTTTTCCTGAAACAATTTCTTAAGACTAAACTTTACTTACTAGACACTTTTGCTTGTGTTACTTAGGAGATGGTTGTTTACCAGCTGTTGATTTTTGGAAAGGGATTTTTCTGAAGTTTTGTTTGGTCAGAAGTACAGCGGATCTGTTTTCATGTGTTCTGCATATCACAACATGAACACAATGAACTAACTTGATTTTTCCCTCGCAGGATGTTGAAGCAGACCATAGTGGATATGTGAGCGATGTAGGATTTCGTGTAAGTCCCCTGATTCTGCTGGTTTCTGAATGTTGTAAAATGGTGAAGGAAAGTTGTTCCAAACAACTGCAAAATACTAGGACCTGTTCTAGAGGTGCTCATTAAACTGGCAAGTATCTACAAATGTTTTGTGGTGGTTACAGCCAGTAACAGTATGACCTGCTGTCTTTAAAAGGGCAATCTATGAATAGGAGACCAAAACATACTCCTACACCCAGGGTTCATCAGCTTATATCTACTGAAAAGTAACATGCTGAATCAAATAATTAAATAAAGATTATAGTAAGATTTTACAGAATATAGTGTCCCTGTGCAGGGTGCTTTCAAATACAAGATATGGTTAAATTAAAACTCATTATGTATTCATAGGCATTCTCTGGTTCTGGGAACAGATTGGATGGCAAGAAGAAAGGTGTTGAGCCTAGTCCATCGCCAATTAAACCAGGAGACATTCGAAGGTATGTCTGTTTCATTCAGCTGTCAGCAAGTGAAGGATCAGTGTTTGAGCAGAGGCTTTTGGGTTTTTTTTCTGCTCCTGCAATATAAACAAAGTAATTTTGTCTTAAGTTTGTATTTAGAAAATAAATAGTCTAATCTTCTAGACTGACTGTGATGTCCCTGACTACTTAAGATGCAGATCCTAAGTTAATGTTGCTGAAACTCACTCAATCAACTCTGATTCTATTGAAGAGAAGTAGGGAGAAGCAGCAAGACTAGGCTGGGCTGGTGGGCTGGATCGAGTGACGCACAGAACCCTGCCAATTCTCTGAAGTGAAATTTGGTGTAGAGTGAAATCTTTTTTGAGTGAGGTAGATAACCGAAGCCAAGCCGTGTGTGGGTTTGGTGGTGGTTTTGTTTTTTCCTTAGAAGGAAGGAAACGTAGAAAATTCAGACTCAGTGGAAGAGTTCAGGGATGTGGTTGGTTCCTGTGGTGTTTTGTTATTTACGCCTGTCACAATAAGACTTGAATCCTTGTGGAAAGGCATGTCCATGGCTTTGTGGGAACCATGGGCTACATGGAATCGTGCCCATAGTCAAGCTTCTACAGCAGCTCTAGTATCTGACTGTTTCCTTCACGCCATGTATGCCTGCCTTCAGAAAATAATTCAGCGGTTTAACTCTAGAATTATTTGGTAATGCAAATTTGTAGGCAGTGTTGGTACAATACCGACAGACATAGACAAGGTCTTGCTGTCTTCAGTTGGATGGTAAGAATAAAACTCTCATCATATTTTTATGTTTCTTTTCCAGAGGAATACCCAACTATGACTTCAAGATTGGTAGAATCACATTCATTAGAAACTCGCGTCCACTAGTTAAGAAAGTTGAAGAGGTAAATAAAGTTGTATCCTTCCCAGTTTTGCACAGAATTAGAATATGATTAGAACCACTGTCCAAGTTTGTGGTTCCTCTTTCCATACTTGATTTTTCATAGCACATTTCTATTAAAAAGTGGTAGTAGTTGCTGAAAGGTCACTGAAATACTCATGTTTTATTTTCAGGAAGAAAGTGGTTGTTATGTAGATTAAGGTTGTGAAATATATACAGTCAGTTGCTGCTCTGATGGAATGTTACTTCATTCAGCTTTCTTCACACTCCAGCAGTGAGCAAAGAGGTAACAACCTTTTTTTCTGTCTTTCCTTTTCCCAGGATGAATCTGGAAGCCGGTTTATTGCCTTTTCAGGAGAAGGCCAGTCCCTGCGCAAAAAGGGAAGAAAACCCTAAGTTGTGGTACCTTTAGTCAGTTAGGAGGAGAATAAAGTAACAATTGCAGCATATTGGATGTTAGTTATTGCAGTTGAGAGGAGAGATTGTTTTGCAGCACAGGAACACTTTTACTGGTTTTGGTTTCACCTTTAAAACTGGAGCTGTCAGACCGCCTTAGTTTTCAGTTGAAAATTAAGTTCTAGGAACGCTGAAGGAGTTTTTTTCTATGTGTTGTAATGAGGGAAAGTATATTGTATAAACCCGAGAAGTAAAACCAACAGGGTTTACCTTGCTAAAAGGTCCAGTTCTTAGACTACATCCTCCCTTCCTCTATCCTGAGTGATGATGGTCTGGCGTTGTTCTGTGCTTGATACTTTCCTCCCTCTCTCTCTATTTTTGCCACAGTTTCAGGTCAGCTTTTTGGTGTGGTGCAAACGAAGGCGAACACTTTGGTGTTTAGGACTTTCTGTGCACAGTGTCTCTTTGATCTTAGCTTCAGGTGTTGGGTTATAAATCATTCTAAGCAACCCCCCTGTAATTGCTTTTTATATTTATAATTAATAACATGCCTTTTATTAGTTCTGATACGATGACATACTGTAGCAACCTCATGGCAC